AAAATTCCAGCAACAAAACACAAAATATAGCTCAATGGAAGGAACGGAAACAGAATACTTATGTTTTGCCTAACATAAAATGACTTTTTCTCCAAGTAAAATTAGAACTGCACCAATACATCAAAATTGTGTGGTCCAAATCAATATTCAAGAGAGATCAAAAACACACACACACACACACACACATGTGGTCCCAAATCTACTTCCACGAGATATCAACACACACGTGGCGCACGGGGGTTCCAAATCAACTATTCCAAGAGATATTAAAACACAACAAACACCACACACACACACACAAAAGTAACACATTTTAAAGCATATTTCAAAAGGTAATAAAACAACAATCATAAGCTTACAATGATTGCCACTGATCACCGAAAATGCTCTCATCCTCCTGCAGTATCTAGAGCAACTTATTGAAAAGAAATGGTGTTCCATTTTCCACAATCACCCCAATATCTCTCTAAAAAGACCTGCACTTTACAAAAACACAGCAAAAAAGAGAGTAAGCTTAACAGACCCAATAGCATCAAGAAAAAAAAAAGGAAAAAAAATGGACTTGAGCGCAACCAAACCCTAAAGATCCGATCGGGTCACGAGATAAAAGCCAAACAAACAGCCGAGCACGAGGAATTTCTTCTTCAGAATTCCTCAATCGCGTCACAAACTCATCCTCTGCTGGACATCTGCCGAGTCTGTGATGATCAAAATTAGCACTTCGGTAGAGTGGAATGATAAGTTTTAGACCCTCGGCCAAGGGTGCAAAGCCGGAGATGGCGAGAGAATCCGAGGGATCCTCGTCCTGTCTTCTCGGACTGCGCTTGTTTGGGTGTGAATTTGCGCGGAGCCTTGATAGGAAGCTCAATTGAGAGCTCAGATAGTGAGGATGAGAGAGAAGAGGAGAGGCGAGAGTGGCGAGCGAGCGGAGCAGGGAGGAGCGGGCGATGAGGAGAAGGGGAAGGACGTGTGAGAAGCATGATGAACCTCGACGCGCGCCCCATTGCACGCGGAATTTGCCATTCAGAGAGTGGTCGGAATACGCGGAGCTGGATGAAGACTGATCGAGGGGAAATGTGCGGTGAAGAGAACCCTAGAGGAGGTTGTTGAGGTTGCTCGCTAAAACCCCCAAAAACCTCCACTCTTCCAATCCCCAAAAATATTCTTGGGTAAATTACACAGCTCCCACATGGTTTGGATAACATTACAATATTTCTCGCATAATGACCCACTTAATGTCCAAATGAAAAATTAAAAATAAACAATTCAAAGGTCAAAGTCGAGAAAATAAACAAATGAGACGGGTTTCTACAAAGTGTAATAAATTAACATACACATGTCTTGAAAACACAAAAGAGACATTTTAAAAAAATGTAAAAAAAGTATGACAATTATCTATTTTTTATCACTGAGTAACGACATTACTAAAATAAATAAAAAGAACTAATGTAAGTTAATCAAAATATTAAAGAAAACCTCATTACTTATATCAAATTAGCCTATCACCCGTGATATTAATTCGAGATATTTATATTGTTCTTAAGATTGTTTTAATATATAAATTATATCTTTTAAGATTTTTTATAAAAAATATTTAACATCTTATCACTACCATAGTGTATGGAAAAGTTAAAAAAGGCACTTGCAAAGTAACCTATACACGGATTGCTATCTTTAAGTTATGTTGTATGAGGTATTTTTAAATGCTATTAGGGATTTTGACCACAATCAATGAATTCAGGCATGTGGAAATATAGTGGATTTGAAAAAAGTTAATAAACTGCTGATCAGAGGATTTTGACCAAATCAATAATGTGGTTTTTTTTCAATAAAAATTTAGAAAATTCAAATTTGGGATATAGACCTTGCGTGTTAAAACCTCCTTTGCTTAATATTGAGTAGTATAGATAATAGAAGATTAGAGAGTATAAATACTAGATATATAGATAGATAAGAAGATATAGATAATATAGATATATAGATAATGATATAGATATAGATAATAATATAGATATTAGATATAGATAATAATAATACATAGTAAATAGATAGATTTTTGATTGTTTACACATCCTTCAGGAAAAAAATGTTTCCCAATTTAAAAAATTTAATAAATTTAAGATTTGTTTAAAAAAATTTGATTTATTTTTGTTAAAACAAGCTCGCGGGGGACCTCGCTATCAGCTCGAACTCGACTTTTGTAGTCACGGTTTCTAAATCTGACAAAGATCTAAACTCACGCAAAATCGTTTGAGAAAACAGATTTTGAAAGAAGTGCCAAACAAGACGCTTTGCCATATACAGAGTCCACCTAAAATATTTATTTGGGAAATTTAGGAAACCCACTCAGGTGCCAAAAGGCCAGTGCTCCGTCGATCACCAACATGTTTTGCCTCGGCTCGGGAATTGGTACATGGGGAAGGTCACTTCGGGTGAGCACCCCGCTCGCCCGGTCATAGACCGGCCATACTACTAACCATGATACAATTTTGAGAAACATTTGTGAGTTCTATATTCCGGGTTATTAGCCTAGTTACTATGTGATGCGCACGAGCATATAAATATAGACCGGCGTCGCCTGAATTGGAACGACAACAGTCATGTGTTTTTGAAAGAGGGTTTGCTGACGCCGCAGGTAGCTTTTAACAACAATCTGATGATTTTATTCCAATTTAAGTAACCAACCCTTCACCCACAGGGCATTCAACGGCAGTTATTCAGATAAGCACATAGCCTCATGGTAAGCATCTATTCATGGGCAATCCACTTCACGCATGCAAGGATGCTAAAGCACAAAAACTTACCCGAGTACTCCAAGCCAAGTGGAAACTTCATATAGAATCATTCCTGATCGCTATTATACAAAATGCAATGCGAACACATGCAAAATGCAACTATAACAGCCGGCTATTTAGATGGCATATGAAAATGCTACAACTATCATTGTATTCAATTTAAATGAAGTACAATGCAGTTAGTATGAGCGCCGAGCTGGTGCACTGCAAATACAGATGAATGATGCAACATGCTGCAAATCATACTGTATCAATTTAAAACATTGCCCTATCTAACCATCAATAAGCGGATAAATAAAAGAAGAAGACGCGGGATTGAAGTACATACATCACACACGCACACTTATATACAGTTGTTGCCCTCGCGCAGAGGGTCGATAAATAATACAGTCCGGAATAAAAGCTCCAAATATTACAGTCCAAATAATATACAAATTCCTAATTAATTAACAAATTAACTAAGAAAATAAATAAAACTGGCATGCAAGCCAGGGACTGCCTTGCTTCTGATGGACGATGCATGTCCGGGTTGTCTTGCGCG